AGTTTGTCCCTTGCCATTTTTTCTGTCAGTGTCTGTGACTCTCTGTGCCCCATGTGTGCCTGTGTGTCTGTGAGTCTCTGGACCAGACTGGTCATCCGCTCCCCCGCCTCCCCCACACTGGAGCTCTCGGGTGGCCACTGGCCTGGGGGCTGTTGCACCCACCTGGGTACCAGCTCTCTCACTTTATCTCTAAGAGGAAGGTAGTGAAAATAATCGGGCTTCATTAATTCCAAGCCCTGTGAGATGACAGCCATTTGGAGCCTGTTTGCCAATTAGATGGTCTAAATTAGAAGTGACCTTGGTATACTGCCACTGCTTGCCTTTCGGAGTCTAATGAAGCTTTTCTCTCCAATTCATTCTCCTTCTCGTTCTCACCTCTCACTCTCTGTGCACATGTGTATAACTCTTCATGGTTCCTGTTCTCCCACACACCTTTTTAAAAATCTGGTTCTGAGCTACATTGGTTTCCAGCCCACATGAATGTTACCACAGCCCTACAGTATTTTCTTTGGAGCTTTATGTATTTAAAAACTGAATGAACTACCATACAGAAGCAGTTTTAGAAAGGAAACAAGAAGGCCACGGTGAAAGGATGGCTTGAGTCCAGGAGTTTGAGACCAGCCAGGGCAACATGGCAAGACGGTGTCTCTACCAAAATAAATAAATAAATAATTGCCGAGTATGGTCATATGTACCTGTAGTTGTAGCTACTGAGGAGACTGAGGCAGAAGAATCAAACTCAGCAGTTTGAGGCTGCAGCAAGCCATGATCATGCCACTGTACTCCAGCCTAGGTGACAAAGTGAGACTATCTCCAATCAAAAAAAAGAAAAGAAAAGGAAGTGGTACAAGGAGAGAAGAAGTGGGGCCTCTTAGACTCCATGGTCCAGTGCTCTCCCTGGCACATGTAGAAGGCAGTAAGGGTAGGGGAACCCAATTCTGAAACTCTCCTGGCAAGAGGTGCCCGGTTTGCTGGCTTTAAGTGTGCAGAAACCAGTTAATAGGCTGTCTAGATACTGGGAAGGAAGTGAGCAACTGGCCTCTCACTGGAGCAGCGGGCTTTAGGTACACCATTCGCTAGAATGCTCAGCCCTAAAAGCAGTTGGGTTTTAACTTGATGCTTAAATGTTTTGGGCAGAACCAGCCTCATCTACCAGGATGTAGAGACTGGTTTGGTCTGTGCCAGGGAGGTTTCTCCTTTTTGTCTGTCTGAAGTTCTTCATTCTGTTGACTTTCAATTAAAAGTAAAGGATTTGAGGCATCCTTGGGGGAGCCTAGGTATTGGCAGATCTACACTTTTCACCTAGAATAATGGACTTTTCAGAAAGCAGTCCTAAAATGAGCAGTGCCAAGGCAGTAGGAATAGGATCTCAGATAAACTATGTTCACCGCTTTTACTAAGAAAATATCTCTGCTGGTTGGGCGTGGTGGCTCACAACCGTAATCCCAGCACTTTGGGAGGGCGAGGCAGGCAGATCACCTGAGGTCAGGAGTTTGAGACCAGCCTGGCCAATATGGTGAAACCCTGTCTCTACTAAAAGTACAGTAAAATTAGCTGGGTGTGATGGCACATGTCTGTAATCCCAGTTACTCGGGAGACTGAGGCAGGAGAATCACTTGAACCTGGGAGGCGGAGGTTACAGTGAGCCAAGATCATGCCGTTACACTCCAGCCTGGGTGACAAGAGCGAAACTCCATCTCAAAAAAAAGGAAAAGAAAATATCTCTGCTTTCCAGCACATGGAATGTGTCAGGTACATCGATCTAACTTAGGCCAGCCTGTCTGTGGGTAGCCTGGAGAGATGAATGGGCATGAATAGTCCCATACAACTTAACAAAGGCTTATCTTGGCTGCACAGGGTGTTTGCCCTTCCACATCTGTGACCTGCAGGGGTTGGGGTAGGTGGCAGGATGGTGTTCGTTGTAACGTCAGCTTCTACCAAGAAATTATACATTGCAGCAGCCCCTCCCAAGTATCAGAGTGGGAGACCAGACCAGTACCTCAGACACTGGGCTGTGTAAGGTGGTCCTTGAGGCCTTAGATTCCACTCACCTCACAGAATCCTGAAAAGCATGAAAACATAATCCAAAATGATAATGACCCAAACTATGATACATACAAATTTCTAATACATAGCTTGGAACTATGAACCTATGTCCCCTCTCCTAGTAGATCAAGGGCACTTTGAGTACATGGATTTCCCTCTGGGGAACTTGTGATTTCCTGTAATTATCTGGAATATTCTTTCTTTCTGTGAAAGTATTTTCCTAGGAGTCTGCAACTTTTATTAGATTTCTAAGGCTTTTATGACCTCTAAAGTTTTAATTATTCTGGATCATAAGCTTCCTGGGGACAAGGACTTTTGTCTTGCTCTCTGCATCTCACAAGCGTGCAGCACATGGATCCTGTACAGCATTTAGTAAATGATGGTCGAATGAACTGAGAGTCACTCAAGGCTACTCCTTCTCAACTGTGGTATTTTGGAATTAACTTAAGCCAACATTTTTAGCATCAGTGTGGAACACTTCTGTTTCTATTGTATATGAAAATTGCCTAAACTGGGAGGTATTCAGTCTTGGAGTAGAACTCCACATTTCTTTTGTTATGCATGAAACCTGTTTGTTAGGGATATATCAGAGCCACTGTTTGCTTCCAAACTTTCTGCAACCCAGTCAGTTAATGGTTTCTTCCCAAGTTGCCATGAACTGTACATGTGCTCTGGGAGGAAGGTAGGTTAATTGGCTTAAAAGGTATGGCAGGAAAACATATGGTGTCTAGAAGATCACCATGGTAATGCCTTTTGCATGGCAGAGGCCAATCTTGAGACACCCAGATGCTGTAATGACTGTAATCAACTGCATTTTCTTAACCAGAAAAACTTTTTCTTGTTACTTCTCAGGTTCATTAGTGAATGAATAGAGTGGGGGATATAATTTAGTGTATTAAATGTTTACTGATGTATGGATTATTGGAATAATCAATGTGGATGGTACAGTCAATGTAGAAAGTGTAGGTGTTTGGACTGATTGTATACTGTCATCTGGCCAAACCTTAGAACTTTTTTGTTTGACTGTCGAATACATGGCTGGAAGGATGGACATTGTAGGATTGTGGCCAGAGATGGAGAGGGGGAGAAGGAAGAGACAGAAAGCATGTATGTAGGTTGTGCACGAAAACTGGTGGTAGGACCAGTTATTTGAGGGCCTCTGAAGTTTGGCACATGACCACTTGGCATGACCCTGGTTATGCTACAACCAGGTTTTGCCTTCTAACAAACCTACATGGTTCAGTGTTCCTGGCAAAAGGGAAAGTCTTTACAGAACGGTGCTCAGCACAGCTGGGATTTATTTATTTATTTATCTATCAAGAGTCTCACCCTGTCACCCAGACTGGAGTGCAGTGATACGATTTTGGCTCATTGCAACCTCTGCCTCCTGGGTTCACGCGGTTCTCCTGTCGCAGCCTCCTGAGTAACTGGGACTACAGGCATGGACGACCATAACTGGCTGATTTTTGTATTTTTAGTAGAGTTGGGTTTCACCATGTTGGCCAGGCTGGTCTTGAACTCCTGACCTCAAGTGATCCACCTGCCTCAGCCTCCGAAAGTGCTGGGATTACAGGAATGAGCCACCACGTCCGGCCAACAGCCGGGTTACTGACTTTCCCATTTTCAGCTGTCCATCAGAGACTGCAGCTGGGACAGTCTGAATTCCATGCAGGTTAGTAGCCAGGTGTGATTGGAAAACAAAGCGGGCGTCAAGGCAGGTGTTGAAGGAAATTTGCTTTTGGGTATATCACCTCAGTGAGCAGAAGGACTCCTCAGTGCGCTCTGTTGTCAGGATTATGTTTATGGCTCTTTTAAGATGACAAAGCATGAAAGCTTTGAGTGAAAAGCTTTGGAAGCTGGTAGGAGATGGAAGAATGGGCAAAGGCACAGGAATTAGTGTCTGATTGCTGACATCAGGCCCTCCAGTAGCTTCCATTCTCAACCTCTGTTCAGACACATGTGCAGATAGACCCCACCTGAATTTCTAGATCTTCAGGATTCTCTTTAGGGATCTTCCTCTTTGCCTCCTGGGAATTTCTTGCCCATGAAAATTTCATATACCAACCCCCCGCCTTTTTTTTTTTTTTTTCCAGGGAGAGGTTGGGTACACTATAGATGAGAAGATGCAGGTGGATAAAAGTAGTTACTTAAACACATATGGGGCATGGCTTACAGGTTTGGAGGCCCAGATTAAGATGCAGAGGAGGATGTGAGGTTGATGATTATATTTCGGGGAGAGTTAATTGATGGAAGGTGAAGGCAGACAAAGAACCGCTGCTTACTGCCTTCTTGAATCCCAATCAGGAATTATGATTAAAGTCGCAGCGAGACAACAGAGGGCTGATGAATTGGTGTCTTTTTTTTTTTCTTTTTTGCCGTCATTCACACTTGATTGACTTCAACCTTTCAAGTGCAAAAGTCTCTCTTTTCCATTATTATTCATAGCCATCTGAGTTTTTCTAATTAAAGTGTATGAAAACAATTACTGATCCGTCGTACTGAGTCTGTTAGAGGGGATGTCTGCCTTACTGTAATGCGTATGAAAAGCCCACAGTTTTCTATAATGATGTGCAGCTGAGGTGTTAGATAATTTTATTCTTTTTTACTCTGTAGGGCTTTTTTTTTTATTTCTCATGATTCATTTTTCATAATTCCTAAAGATCCCAGGAAAAGACTGATCCTGCAGCTACAACCGAGAAAGGAGGTGGGGGGGAGTCTTTTTTCCTTTCCCTTTCTCCCCCTCTTACCCCCAACCTCGTGCTCCCCCTCGGCTGAGGACTATAAATTAATCGGTGACCTTTCACTTCTTGGATTCCCGCTGGACTCCCCAACCATACTGGTCAGAAATACCTTCTATTAAAAAGAAAATAGAATGAGTTTGGCAATCTACACTCCATTCCTAACGAATCATCAACAGCTAGCCTTAACCAGCTGCCGATGAGCTTTGTGTGCGGTGCAGGTGTCTGTGGGGGCAAGAATGCGATGTCATTCACATTCACCTGCCACACACCTGCTCTTCGTAAACACAGTGTTTCTCAGAGTGGTTCTCCATAGTGCCTGTGGCTTACTTTTTGCACCCATTGGCATCTGGGTTGCTAAAATTATTTTAATACCCCTAAATGTGATGGGGAGTTATCTTATGTTGATGAGGATGGCTGTCTGGGTTTCCTCTAGTCGTCAAGCCTATCACTGATATTCTAGTGGACATGTCAGTAGCTATTTTGGGCAAGGCTAGGATTTTCACACCATTAAAAATTAATAGTAATGTATTTAAAACATTAATTTTGAAGAGAAATCTAAGTATTCCAGTCTTTGCAACAGATAGTGAAGATGGCTGTGCAGTATGGTTTTGTTTGATGGAAAAATAATGTCTCCAAGTGGGGCTGGGAGCCATGTAGAAAGGTTAGTGGTGATTGTAGTTTCTGGTCCTGTATCTTCTAGGTCAGTCCATTTCTCCGGCTGTCATCAAATGGGAGGCGGTTTTCTGATTCATTTCAAATATCATCGCCACCTACCCTTCCCACCCCATATCAGGCAAAGGGATATTGCTTCTGTTTGAATGAAGAACCTTTGATCCTTCCATTGGTGTCGAGGACTGTTTATCACATTAACATAGGGCAAATGATAACTTATCTGGACAGGCTTCTGGCTGTATGACTGGGAGGCCCAGAGAAGTATCTGAGGATCTGCCATAAAATTGCAGCTATTTGCATCCAGGCAATTTCCAGAATTGCTATGTTTAGAAACAATGGCCATGGTCAAGGTGGGACTGCCCTGTTATAGAATGCTGTGCAGGCCACCCTCTATGGCTGGGACATTGGCCAGAGGTTCCTTCTGATGTTGTGTATCTTGGGCAGATAGTCCAGAAGAAATCGTGGGCTTAAGTGAGTCACACACAAAAAAAGGCTTGTTTGTGCTTGATATCAGCTTGTAAAGGGTTACAAATGTTGTTTCCTGGAAAATCTGCCAGCATGTCTGCGTGTCCTTAGCCTTCCCTTTGTTCTCTTCTTTTCTTCTTACCCTTTCCTTCACTCTTACTCCCCTCCTCTTCTTGCCTGAATACATTTTGAAAACAGTACTACAATGCTCCCTGTTTCAAGATTACAGTGTACTTTACTAGGTATGATTTAATTAGGGCCCTTATTATGTTTTCAGCAGCTTAAGGTGGGCCTTTCAACTTATCTACCTAATTGGTTGCACAAGAAGTTTCACAGCCCATGACAAAACATTGTCAGTGATCAAAGTCAAAATTCTGCATAAAGGAAAAATATTAATAAGAAGATTATTCTTCAAGTGTGCACTGCTAATTATGTCCAGAATGTAACCGTAGAAACACTTTTGACTGATGTGAGCTTTGTCTAATAAACATGAATCTTCAGTGAGCTGTGAAAAGTGACACCTCTAGCTTTATACTGGTGAAGGGTAATTTTGCTTATTAAATAATTTTTAAACATTTCCTATTTTGTGTATCTTTCCTCTCCATTTGACTCTCTTTGCTCTTGCTCCTCAGGTGACCACTCCCGAGATGGTGATGCCCAGCAGCATGTTCCTCCCAGCAGCTGTTCCAGATCGAGATGGGAATTCCAGTTTGGAAGAGGCAGGAAAGCAGCCTGGTCAGTACCATTATTCTTGACCCCAAGAACCTGAAACAAGATGGAATGGCAAAACGTTCATGGAGAAGGGTTTACAGGAATTCTTTACAATACTCTTAAGGTGAATGTAACTGATCAGGAGATGAGGGGCACTGTCATCAGCTACCTTATACTCTGGTTCTTGGCATGTATTTGTATATTACGCACATGGTTTAAAGTGAGAGAGAATCAGTATGACAACCAGTGGAATTTTGGCAGACACACACATACATCCCCTTAGATTATACAATTACGGAGTGAATAAAAGACTCAGTTAATAGGCCCCACCATTTTAAGCCATTAAACACTGTATCTCTGAGGACTTAATTAGTAGAGACTTGTGGGTTGATTTTTAGGTACACTGGATTAGTTGTCTTTTGTTCTGAGTTTTCTGGGCTTGCCTTAGGATGAAGCACAGAAGTGCCATTGGAAAGAACATTGTGATAGACATGCATGCTGCCATAGTGGCGCCACATAGTATTTCCTAGCTAGATGGATGGTGAGACCTCTGTGAGGCTGTCCATCTTTCACCTCTAAGTTGGGAAGAGTTTGGGCACACCACTGCTCTGCCTCCTCTCTTTCTTGTGAGTTTTCCATCTTAGAAAATGGGCAAATGACCTGATAAATGGTCTGGTTATTTATGGGTATGATTATCTCATTGTAGGAAAAAAAGTAATATATTTTAAACGATTGAACACTTGTTCATTGTTTATACAATAGAGATGGCAATCAGAAGTCACAAGAAATTTAATGCCTGAAAATATGTATCCCCCAAATTTCTTTCTTTTTTTGTTTTTGAGACAGTCTCACACTGTTGCCTAGGTTGTAGTGCAGTATGTGATCTCGGCCCACTGCAATCTCTGCTTCCTGGGTTCAAGCAATTCTCCTGCCTCAGCCTCCCGCGTAGCTGGGACTACAGGCATGCGCCACCATGCCCAGCTATTTTTTGTGTGTGTTTTTAGTAAAGATGGGGTTTCACCATGTTGGCCAGGATGACCTTGATCTCCTGACCTCGATAACTGCTCGCCTCAGCCTCCCAAAGTGCTGGTATTACAGGTGTGAGCCACTGCACCTGGCCCCCAAATTTCTTACATTACAGCATTCAGCAGTTCTTACAAAAAATTCCCCATAACTTAGGACAGCATTAATTCACATATTCTACACTTCAGATCTACTGTGCTAAATTCTTATTACATAAAAGATGAACATAAAAGGGAAATCCAGTCTAAGATCAGTAACCTTCAAACCAGTTCTTGAGAAATTGAGGATTCTGAGTCAAGCAATTAAATACTATTTAAAAGACTGTTAGATCTGTGATATGACATGGGTCTATTATTCATTGAAACTTTTTGTATTTCCTTTTATTCATCTCTGTTCATGTGCACCCTGTTTATAGTATGTGCTCTGTTGGGGGAACAAAAGGAAGCAGGAGGCGCTCAATGGAGATTCTGTCATTCAGGTTGGGCACTTCCCTCATCATCAGATTCTGTGTTCATAAGGCCTGGTTAGGTAGACCACTCTGGGTGCCATCCTTGAAACAAAGCCTTCTTTATCTGTGGGTTTGATGTTTTTTTTTCACAGAAACCTCAGAGGATCTGGGAAAGAACATCTTGCAATCTGCGAGCACAGAGCAAAGTGGAGATTTGAAACCCTCCCCTGCCGACCCAGGCTCTGTGAGAGAAGATTCAGGCTTCCTCTGCTGGAAGAAGGGTTGCAACCAGGTTTTCAAAACTTCTGCTGCCCTTCAGACGCATTTCAATGAAGTGCATGCCAAGAGGCCTCAGCTGCCGGTGTCAGATCGCCATGTGTACAAGTACCGCTGTAATCAGTGTAGTCTGGCCTTCAAGACCATTGAAAAGTTGCAGCTCCATTCTCAGTACCATGTGATCAGAGCTGCCACCATGTGCTGTCTTTGTCAGCGCAGTTTCCGAACTTTCCAGGCTCTGAAGAAGCACCTCGAGACTAGCCACTTGGAGCTGAGTGAGGCTGACATCCAGCAGCTTTATGGTGGCCTTCTGGCCAATGGGGATCTGCTGGCAATGGGAGACCCCACCCTGGCTGAGGACCATACCATAATTGTTGAGGAAGACAAGGAGGAAGAGAGTGACTTGGAAGATAAACAGAGCCCAACGGGCAGTGACTCTGGGTCAGTACAAGAAGACTCGGGCTCAGAGCCAAAGAGAGCTCTGCCTTTCAGAAAAGGTCCCAATTTTACTATGGAAAAATTCCTAGACCCTTCTCGCCCTTACAAGTGTACCGTCTGCAAGGAATCTTTCACTCAAAAGAATATCCTGCTAGTACACTACAATTCTGTCTCCCACCTGCATAAGTTAAAGAGAGCTCTTCAAGAATCAGCAACTGGTCAGCCAGAACCCACCAGCAGCCCAGACAACAAACCTTTTAAGTGTAACACTTGTAATGTGGCCTACAGCCAGAGTTCCACTCTGGAGATCCACATGAGGTCTGTGTTACATCAAACGAAGGCCCGGGCAGCCAAGCTGGAGGCTGCAAGTGGCAGTAGCAACGGGACTGGGAACAGCAGCAGTATCTCCCTGAGCTCCTCCACGCCAAGTCCTGTGAGCACCAGTGGCAGTAACACCTTTACCACCTCCAATCCAAGCAGTGCTGGCATCGCTGCAAGCTCCAACTTACTGAGCCAAGTGCCCACTGAGAGTGTAGGGATGCCACCCCTGGGGAATCCTATCGGTGCCAACATTGCTTCCCCTTCAGAGCCCAAGGAGGCCAATCGGAAGAAACTGGCAGACATGATTGCATCCAGGCAGCAGCAGCAACAGCAGCAGCAACAGCAGCAACAACAACAAGCACAAACCCTGGCCCAGGCCCAAGTTCAAGCTCACCTGCAGCAGGAGCTGCAGCAGCAGGCTGCCCTGATCCAGTCTCAGCTGTTTAACCCCACCCTCCTTCCTCACTTCCCTATGACCACTGAGACCCTGCTACAGCTACAGCAGCAGCAGCACCTCCTCTTCCCTTTCTACATCCCCAGTGCTGAGTTCCAGCTCAACCCCGAGGTGAGCTTGCCAGTGACGAGTGGGGCACTGACGCTGACGGGGACGGGTCCAGGCCTGCTGGAAGATCTGAAGGCTCAGGTTCAGGTCCCACAGCAGAGCCACCAGCAGATCTTACAGCAGCAGCAGAACCAACTCTCTCTAGCCCAGAGTCACTCCACGCTCCTTCAGCCAAGCCAGCACCCAGAAAAGAAGAACAAATTGGTCATCAAAGAAAAGGAAAAAGAAAGCCAGAGAGAGAGGGATGGTGCCGAGGCGGGGGAGAGCAACACTGGTCCAAAGGAAACACAGCCAGATGCCTTGAAGGCCAAAGAGAAGAAAGAGTTGGCACCAGGGGGTAGTTCTGAGCCTTCCATGCTCCCTCCACGCATCGCTTCAGATGCCAGAGGGAATGCCACCAAGGCCCTGCTGGAGAACTTTGGCTTTGAGTTGGTCATTCAGTATAATGAGAACAAGCAGAAGGTGCAGAAAAAGAACGGGAAGACTGAGCAGGGAGAGAACCTGGAAAAGCTCGAGTGTGACTCATGTGGCAAGTTGTTTTCCAACATCTTGATTTTAAAGAGTCATCAAGAGCACGTTCATCAGAATTACTTTCCCTTCAAACAGCTTGAGAGGTTTGCCAAACAGTACAGAGACCACTACGATAAACTGTACCCACTGAGGCCCCAGACCCCAGAGCCACCACCACCTCCCCCTCCGCCCCCTCCACCCCCACTTCCGGCAGCGCCACCTCAGCCAGCGTCCACGCCAGCCATCCCTGCGTCAGCCCCGCCCATTACCTCACCTACGATTGCACCGGCCCAGCCATCTGTGCCGCTCACCCAGCTCTCCATGCCCATGGAGCTGCCCATCTTCTCACCACTGATGATGCAGACAATGCCGCTGCAGACCTTGCCAGCTCAGCTGCCCCCACAGCTGGGACCTGTGGAGCCCCTGCCTGCAGACCTGGCCCAGCTGTACCAGCATCAGCTCAATCCAACCCTGCTGCAGCAGCAGAACAAGAGGCCTCGCACCAGGATCACAGATGATCAGCTCCGAGTCTTGCGGCAATATTTTGACATTAACAACTCCCCCAGTGAAGAGCAAATCAAAGAGATGGCAGACAAGTCCGGGTTGCCCCAGAAAGTGATCAAGCACTGGTTCAGGAACACTCTCTTCAAAGAGAGGCAGCGTAACAAGGACTCCCCTTACAACTTCAGTAATCCTCCTATCACCAGCCTGGAGGAGCTCAAGATTGACTCCCGGCCCCCTTCGCCAGAACCTCCGAAGCAGGAATACTGGGGAAGCAAGAGGTCTTCAAGAACAAGGTTTACGGACTACCAGCTGAGGGTCTTACAGGACTTCTTTGATGCCAATGCTTACCCAAAGGATGATGAATTTGAGCAACTCTCTAATTTACTGAACCTTCCAACCCGAGTCATAGTGGTGTGGTTTCAGAATGCCCGACAGAAGGCCAGGAAGAATTACGAGAATCAGGGAGAGGGCAAAGATGGAGAGCGGCGTGAGCTCACAAATGACAGATACATTCGAACAAGCAACTTGAACTACCAGTGCAAAAAATGTAGCCTGGTGTTTCAGCGCATCTTTGATCTCATCAAACACCAGAAGAAGCTGTGTTACAAGGATGAGGATGAGGAGGGGCAGGATGACAGCCAAAATGAGGATTCCATGGATGCCATGGAAATCCTGACACCTACCAGCTCCTCCTGCAGCACCCCGATGCCCTCACAGGCTTACAGCGCCCCGGCATCATCAGCCAATAATACAGCTTCCTCCGCTTTCTTGCAGCTTGCAGTAGAGGCTGAGGACCTGGCCACCTTCAATTCAAAAACAGAGGCAAGCGATGAGAAACCAAAGCTGGTGGAAGCTCCCAGTGCCCAGCCAAACCAAACCCAAGAAAAGCAAGGACAACCAAAGCCAGAGCTGCAGCAGCAAGAGCAGCCCGAGCAGCAGAAGACCAATACCCCACAGCAGAAGCTCGCCCAGCTGGCGTCCCTGCCTTCGCTGCCACAGCCTCCTCCACAAGCACCCCCTCCACAGTGCCCCTTACCCCAGTCGAGTCCCAGCCCTTCCCAGCTCTCCCACCTGCCCCTCAAGCCCCTCCACACGTCAACTCCTCAGCAGCTGGCAAACCTACCTCCTCAGATAATCCCTTACCAGTGTGACCAGTGTAAGTTGGCATTTCCATCATTTGAGCACTGGCAGGAGCATCAGCAGCTCCACTTCCTGAGTGCACAGAACCAGTTCATCCACCCCCAGTTTTTGGACAGGTCACTGGATATGCCTTTCATGCTTTTTGATCCCAGTAACCCACTCCTGGCCAGCCAGCTGCTCTCTGGGGCCATACCTCAGATTCCGGCAAGCTCTGCCACTTCTCCTTCAACTCCAACCTCCACGATGAACACTCTCAAGAGGAAGCTGGAGGAAAAGGCCAGTGCAAGCCCTGGTGAAAATGACAGTGGGACAGGAGGAGAAGAGCCTCAGAGAGACAAGCGTTTGAGAACAACTATCACACCAGAACAACTAGAAATTCTCTACCAGAAGTATCTACTGGACTCGAATCCGACTCGAAAGATGTTGGATCATATTGCGCACGAGGTGGGCTTGAAGAAACGTGTGGTGCAAGTCTGGTTTCAGAACACCAGAGCTCGGGAAAGGAAAGGACAGTTCCGGGCTGTGGGCCCAGCTCAGGCCCACAGGAGATGTCCTTTTTGCAGAGCGCTCTTCAAAGCCAAGACTGCTCTCGAGGCTCACATCCGGTCCCGTCACTGGCATGAAGCCAAGAGAGCTGGCTACAACCTAACACTGTCTGCGATGCTCTTAGACTGTGATGGGGGACTCCAGATGAAAGGAGATATTTTTGATGGAACTAGCTTTTCCCACCTACCCCCAAGCAGTACTGATGGTCAGGGTGTCCCCCTCTCACCAGTGAGTAAAACCATGGATTTGTCACCGAGAACTCTTCTTAGCCCTTCCTCCATTAAGGTGGAAGGGATTGAAGACTTTGAAAGCCCCTCCATGTCCTCAGTTAATCTAAACTTTGACCAAACTAAGCTGGACAATGATGACTGTTCCTCTGTCAACACAGCAATCACAGATACCACAACTGGAGACGAGGGCAATGCCGATAATGACAGTGCAACGGGAATAGTAACTGAAACCAAATCCTCTTCTGCACCCAATGAAGGGTTGACCAAAGCGGCCATGATGGCAATGTCTGAGTATGAAGATCGGTTGTCATCTGGTCTGGTCAGCCCTGCCCCGAGCTTCTATAGCAAGGAATATGACAATGAAGGTACAGTGGACTACAGTGAAACCTCAAGCCTTGCAGACCCCTGCTCCCCAAGTCCTGGCGCTAGTGGATCTGCAGGCAAATCTGGTGACAGTGGGGATCGGCCTGGGCAGAAACGTTTTCGCACTCAAATGACCAATCTGCAGCTGAAGGTCCTCAAGTCATGCTTTAATGACTACAGGACACCCACTATGCTAGAGTGTGAAGTCCTGGGCAATGACATTGGACTGCCAAAGAGAGTTGTTCAGGTCTGGTTCCAGAATGCCCGGGCAAAAGAAAAGAAGTCCAAGTTAAGCATGGCCAAGCATTTTGGTATAAACCAAACAAGTTACGAGGGACCCAAAACAGAGTGCACTTTGTGTGGCATCAAGTACAGCGCTCGGCTGTCTGTACGTGACCATATCTTTTCCCAACAGCATATCTCCAAAGTTAAAGACACCATTGGAAGCCAGCTGGACAAGGAGAAAGAATACTTTGACCCAGCCACCGTACGTCAGTTGATGGCTCAACAAGAGTTGGACCGGATTAAAAAGGCCAATGAGGTCCTTGGACTGGCAGCTCAGCAGCAAGGGATGTTTGACAACACCCCTCTTCAGGCCCTTAACCTTCCTACTGCATATCCAGCGCTCCAGGGCATTCCTCCCGTGTTGCTCCCGGGCCTCAACAGCCCCTCCTTGCCAGGCTTTACTCCATCCAACACAGGTGGGTTCTGCTCCAGGGGATTATTTCAGGGCTGAATAGCTGCCCATTCAGCATTCTGTTATGTGGCTACCACCCAGACCCTCTGAGTGCTGGGCAGATGGGAAGCTTCTCTTTCTAGTTCTCTAAAAGCAACAAGACTTGAGTTTGCTCCTGTTAAGTCTCCCTACTGCTGGTGTGTCAGGGGTGGGACCTCCCGGTTGGAACAGTCTCCTTTGAAACCTCTTAGGCCCTACAATAGGGAAAAGCTTGAGGGTCCTGGTATACTGATTTCTGGAATATTTCAAGAAATAAGATTCCATCATAGACCCTTTCATTCAGTCCTTGTGGAAATGCTGATCCTGTCTGGGTATTTGTTGTAAATATAAGACACCTGAATTAGTCATAGCTAATTCTGGATTATGACCTAAGAAAACTGGTCTAAGAACATTTAAATCAACTCTTTGCCCTCACCTAGGGTCCCTGCCTTCTCGAGAGCTACTGTGGCTAAAGAACTGCTATCAGAAAGAAGCTTTCATATGGTGGATCCTTACTGTTGGAGTTTTCTCTTCCAGCCAGAACAATAGTGGCTGTTAGTTTCTAACAAGATGACCTTTTTACTTGAATGCATTGACCAGGAATCCTGTATTGGGATTAAAGTATTGTTAAAGTACTGATGCATATTTCAGAGGTCCTCAGTCACCTCTTTTTTTTTTTTTTTCCTTTTGCCCATTTCCCTTTCCTTGCTCCTGATCATTCAGAATCATACATACTTGGTGCTCTTATAGTCTCACTTAATAAGGAATTTTGCAGTTTTTCCTACATACCTCTTTTGTTTCTCCTCCTCTGTCCTCACATCTTCTCTGGATCCAGCCATCTTTGCTAAATTGGACCTTCACCTCCAGGGTCCTGCAAGGATTAGACGCAAGTCAGCCAATTCCCCCCACAACAGCCTGAATTGATTACTTCCCGTTCACCAAAGGAGAACGGCTCCAAAAGCCACCTTGCCTTCAAAATGTGTCCCTGTTACCTACCAGGGGTTAAAGCAGCCCCACTGCTTCCCACAGCAGTCCTAGTTTCTGGTTGAATTAGCTCCACATTTACATTTTGGGTGGTATCTTACCAAACATTGAGCCTACTGCATTCCTGGTCCATTTCTTACTCAATTAAGACAGAAGTTGTTCCTTCTATGTATTGACAAGTCATGTCACAGAAAACCAGCTAGACATAGACAGGAAAAAAACTACAGAAAAAAAAAAAAAAACTAAGCGAAGCACTTAGTTATCCCTGTAGCCCAGGACCTTGCCAGAGGGGCTTGGGAAGGTTTGACACATCACAGTAATGTGAAAAAAGTAGAATCAGAATGTCTGGTTTATTCCCCTTGTTTTACAGATGAGAAAACTGAGGCCCAGAGAGGTCGAGACCATTCAACAAGCTAGGATAGGAGCTAGAGCTCCCACCCAGGCCTCCGGGCTCCCAGTGCTATGTCCTCCTTCCACAACAACACCCAATATGAGCCAGTCAGTCAACAGGTATATGTTCAGTGTTACTCAGGTTCTGACCACTTAGAGTGGACTCAAGCTAGAAAGATATGCTCTTATTTATTCAGGGCAGCCAGACTGCCCCAGTTGTCATCATCTGACTGTAGCATTGTTCTCAAGAGCACTGGGAACAATGGGAGGGAAGGAATGAATTTGTATTTATTAAGCATCTATTACAGGTCAGGCCCAATGGTAAGCTTTTTCTATGAATATGGTCTTTCATTTAATTCTTGTAACCATCTGTTGTGGAAAGCTGAGGTTCCAAGAGTTCAACTGACGGGCCCAGGGTCACATGTCTGCTGTGTGTTACCACGATTCCACAGGGTCTGTGTGATTCCAGAGTTGTATGAGTAAGTCTTGGGGGAACAAGGAAGTCACAGAATTGTGAGTATGTTGAGCTACTGTACCATGGCTAGGGCAGGGCTTGGTAAATAGTAGAGATTGGTAAACATTTCTTAAAATTTGAACCTCTTAACATAGACCATCAGTTGAAGGTACACAGTTTAAGGCTTTCTGACCTGAATCTTTCTCCTAAAAGCCTGAAGCCACAGGGATGAGGAAATCTCTAGATATTCCTTCCTTGCCGCACTGATCTTTTCGCTCTGGCCTCAAACCTGAAACTTAGTAGGCCCCAAATCTTAAACTTAGTAGGCCCATTGCCTAGTGGAGACAGAGCCATATCCCAAGTTTAGAACTCATAATCTACTCTGTCTCGTTTGTGCCAGTTTAATCAAGTTTTACTAAGCTTTTTGGAGTAGAGTCACGCATATCTTCTCTGGTGTGATGTGATGCTGAAGGAATGTTCCTCCTTGGCTATCCCATATTAATGGAGATTTATTGGATTGGCAACTTGAAGCAGTCTTGTTCTTTTCATCTGAAATAGGAGGGTTTTGATAGTGAACACTGTACCTCAATAGCCAGAAATCAGCAGTCTTCCCCCAGATCTAGGCTTCAGAGTGTTTTTTTCTTGGGTTTTGTTATGGAACTCCTTCTCCAGCTTTCTGGCAGAAAGTGGTCCAGATGAAATACTGAAGGGCTTTAGGACTGTTTTGATTTTGCATTTGGTGTCCTCTGAAGAGATGTATATACCATCTAGTTTCTTGGATGTGGTGAATACAGAGGTGTTGCCTGTGGGATCCTCTTTTCTTTTCTCAGCTTGCATCATCCAGCACACTCTGCACCCCACCCCTCATGCTGTCTTTCCCTGGTGTCTTGCTACTCTCAACATACCTGAAGCTTGGAGTACCATCCATAGCAACACCCTCTTCCATTACCTTGGAACTGAAGACTCAAACCAGGAGATAGCTATGGGTCAGGGGAGGGTATTAGGCTCTAGGGTCAGTGAAGGTGTTGCAGGGAGTGGTGGTAGATTAGGGGTGAGTATGATAAAGGATGGGGCCTAGGCCATGAGGGCCTGGTGACACAGTCAGAGACCTTTGCTATCCATAGACAGTGGTGCTTCGAGAAGGTTGTGATGTGTTGGAAATTGGTGTCAGTACCTTGGGCTATTCCGTTTGTGACATGGCTTTTCTCCTTTTCCTGTGGTGGCTTCTCAACCATCTACAGTTCTATTGGCCCTCCTGTGTATCATTCAAACGGACAGAAGAGAGAAGGTGGTCATTTCTCCAGTAGTCTCCAGAATCTTATGCCTAGATGGTTACACACTTGTTGAAGCAGATCAGCTGGGCCAAGGCACTGGAGCAGTTTTCCCTGAATGGATTCTTACTTCTTCCCAGGCCCTTCCTCCATACTTTCCCATTCACCTCTTCTCTGTACCCTCCCAAAGCATCCAGTCAGCTGCCACAACAGAGGTCAGAGAGGAGGGACACATGTAAAGCCTGTTTTATGTAAAGCCTGTTTTGCTTGTCCATGTGGCCTTGGGCCCTTGCTAGCTTTCCTGCCCCTGTTCTCTTCTCCCTTCTCCTGTTGCCTCTCTCCTCCAGGCAACTTCTCCGGGCCTCATGGCCATACTCTTTCTGTGATGCTTTGGTAAAGGCCTTTGGTGCAAATGGGCCCCAGCTAGAAACAGCTAGCTTTGGGGCCTCCAGACTAATTGCGATTGGGTAGAGTGACTGGTAGGTGGGAGTGCTTGGCCAAGAAAATGTGAACTAGCTGGTGTGGCACATTGGGCAGGAAGGTGCTGGAAGTAGATTGGCTGGAAGGAGGAGTATGGGAGCTGACCCAGGACTGTGACCTCATTAGAATACAGGCTGTCCAGCCCTGAGCCTGATGGGATACTTCTGTTGAAAACGTTGGTTTTGAGAGGAGTCTTCAAGCCTTGACATCTCAGACTGTATGCCAGTGACACCGGTAAAATGTCTTGAGCTTCAGTCCTACCCCTGCCCAGACTGACTGGTGATTTCTGTTTCTGTCTCCATTACTTTCAGCTTTAACGTCTCCTAAGCCGAACTTGATGGGTCTGCCCAGCACAACTGTTCCTTCCCCTGGCCTCCCCACATCTGGATTACCAAATAAACCGTCCTCAGCGTCGCTGAGCTCCCCAACCCCAGCACAAGCCACCATGGCGATGGCCCCTCAGCAACCCCCCCAGCCCCAGCAGCAGCAGCCACAGGTGCAGCAGCCTCCCCCACCGCCAGCAGCCCAGCCGCCACCCACACCACAGCTCCCACAGCAACAGCAGCAGCAACGCAAGGACAAAGACAGTGAAAAAGTAAAGGAGAAGGAAAAGGCACACAAAGGGAAAGGGGAACCCCTGCCTGTCCCCAAGAAGGAGAAAGGAGAGGCGTCCACGGCAGCTGCAGCCACGATCTCAGCCCCGCTGCCCACCATGGAGTATGCGGTGGACCCCGCACAGCTGCAGGCCCTGCAGGCAGCCTTGACTTCGGACCCCACAGCGTTGCTCACAAGCCAGTTCCTTCCTTACTTTGTACCGGGCTTTTCTCCTTATTATGCTCCCCAGATCCCTGGCGCCCTGCAGAGCGGGTACCTGCAGCCTATGTATGGCATGGAAGGCCTGTTCCCCTACAGCCCTGCACTGTCGCAGGCCCTGATGGGGCTGTCCCCGGGCTCCCTACTGCAGCAGTACCAGCAATACCAGCAGAGTCTGCAGGAGGCAATTCAGCAGCAGCAGCAGCAGCGGCAACTACAGCAGCAGCAGCAGCAGCAGCAGCAGCAGCAGCAAAAAGTGCAGCAGCAGCAGCCCAAAGCAAGTCAAACCCCAGTCCCCCCGGGGGCTGCTTCCCCAGACAAAGACCCTGCCAAAGAATCCCCCAAACCAGAAGAACAGAAAAACGCCCCCCATGAGGTGTCCCCCCTCCTGCCGAAACCTCCTGAAGAGCCAGAAGCAGAAAGCAAAAGTGCGGACTCCCTCTACGACCCCTTCATTGTTCCAAAGGTGCAGTACAAGTTGGTCTGCCGCAAGTGCCAGGCGGGCTTCGGCGACGAGGAGGCGGCGAGGAGCCACCTGAAGTCCCTCTGCTTCTTCGGCCAGTCTGTGGTGAACCTGCAAGAGATGGTGCTTCACGTCCCCACCGGCGGCGGCGGCAGTGGCGGCGGTGGCGGCGGCGGCGGCGGCGGCTCGTACCACTGCCTGGCGTGCGAGAGCGCGCTCTGTGGGGAGGAAGCTCTGAGTCAACATCTCGAGTCGGCCTTGCACAAACACAGAACAATCACGAGAGCAGCAAGAAACGCCAAAGAGCACCCTAGTTTATTACCTCACTCTGCCTGCTTCCCCGATCCTAGCACCGCATCTACCTCGCAGTCTGCCGCTCACTCAAACGACAGCCCCCCTCCCCCGTCGGCCGCCGCCCCCTCCTCTGCTTCCCCCCACGCCTCCAGGAAGTCTTGGCCGCAAGTGGTCTCCCGGGCTTCGGCAGCGAAGCCCCCTTCTTTTCCTCCTCTCTCCTCATCTTCAACGGTTACCTCAAGTTCATGCAGCACCTCAGGGGTTCAGCCCTCGATGCCAACAGACGACTATTCGGAGGAGTCTGACACGGATCTCAGCCAAAAGTCCGACGGACCGGCGAGCCCGGTGGAGGGTCCCAAAGACCCCAGCTGCCCCAAGGACAGTGGTCTGACCAGTGTAGGAACGGACACCTTCAGATTGTAAGCTTTGAAGATGAACAATACAAACAAATGAATTTAAATACAAAAATTAATAACAAACCAATTTCAAAAATAGACTAACTGCAATTCCAAAGCTTCTAACCAAAAAAAAAAAAAAAAACAAAAAACAAACAAACAAAAAAAACAAAAAACAACAAAAAGAAAAAAAGAAAAAAAAGAAAAAGCGTGGGTTGTTTTCCCATATACCTATCTATGCCGGTGATTTTACATTGTCTTTTTTTCTTTTAATATTAAAAAAAAAAAAAAAATGCCCTAACCCTGTTACATTGTGTCCTTTTGAAGGTACTATTGGTCTGGGAAACAGAAGTCCGCAGGGCCTCCCTAATGTCTTTGGAGCTTAAACCCCTTGTATATTTGCCCCTTTTCAATAAACGCCCCACGCTGATAGCACAGAGGAGCCCGGCATGCACTGTATGGGAAAGCAGTCCACCTTGTTACAGTTTTAAATTTCTTGCTATCTTAGCATTCAGATACCAATGGCTTGCTAAAAGAAAAAAAGAAATGTAATGTCTTTTTATTCTCAGGTCAATCGCTCACACTTTGTTCTGTTTTCAGAATCATTGTTTTATATATTTTTCTGTTTTTTTTCTTTTTTTGGTTCCAGAAAAGATTTTTTGTTTTGTTAATTTAAAAACGGGCAGAAAGTATTCGAGAAAAACAATGTGAACTGCTTTAGCTTTCTGGGGATTTTTAACGATAGCTTTTCTGCTGAAGCCAATTTCAAGGGGAAAAGTTAAGCACTCCCACTTTCAGAAAAAAAAAAAAAAAACCCACATACACAAAGAGTGTTGAGGACTTGTAGCTTAAAAAAATAAGTTTTAAAAACTGACTTTCTGTATTTATGATAGCTATGACCATTTTTGGTGTTGAGTAGATTGTTGCATTGGAAATGAACTGAAGCAGTATGGTAGATTTAAAAGGAAAAAAAAAAAACCTTTTGTGTACATTTAGCTTTTTGTATGGTCCAGCTGACAGCTCCTCATTTGATGTTGTCTTGTTCATTCCTAGCAAATAGATTGCAATCCGTTGATTCGCCTAAGCTTTTCTCCCCTTTGTCCCTTAATTCCACTTTCTCTTTCCTTGTCCCACCTCCCATATCCTATAATCTCCCACTTAAGGTAGCTGCCTTCATTTCTTAGAGGGAGCTGCAGAATTATTTTATAAAACTAAAGAAAGAATTTCAAGGGATTCTAGGGGTCATTAGGATCCTCACAGATTATTTTTGGTTGGGGAGTTGAAACTTTTTAAAGGCATATAATCATAGTTACCTGTGTCTGTTAGCCTTGTGCATTTATGTTTTATTTACCCTTCTTTTGGCTTTTCTTTGTACCCCTTCTTTTCCTCCTTGTTTGGTAGATGCTTCAAATATTCTTTTCCTATACTAAAGCATTTGTTTCCATTTGTGTAATTGGCTGTGTACTTTTCTTTTCTAAAAAAGTTTTTGGTTAGGGATTTGGTTTTTGGTTTTGTGTTTTTCTTTCCTCTCTCAGAAAAAGAAATTTCATGCTTTAAATAAAATCCAAAGACACACCCTTTCACTGCTGGTGCAGAAAAAAGGGAAAGGGTTCTTGTTACTTGAGAATTTGTTTCTGATTTAAACAAACAAGACTTAGTTTAATAAAAGAAAGAGAAAAACAAAAGATTCCCAGGTTGTTATGTGCTTCTTCTGCACGCAGAGGGGCAACTGTTAATGACAATTCCATATACCAAAAGACACATTTTTTACTTCAAAGTTTTGTCCTTGTGTTAGGCAGTCTGAGCGGCGAGTGATCCAGAGCGCAGCCAACAGAGCAGCAGATAGCAATGTACAGAAAGCAAAAAAGGAATCGTATGTGAGGCACTTGTTTATGTTAATATCCATGTTCCTGTAACACACAACGCAACACACAACCTTTCTCATGTAAAAAAAAATAATAAACCGTCTGAACTTTGAAAACTTTGTGCTGCTAAAACAACATAGATTTTGGAGACAAATAGATGCTTTGCTGTTTCACTTTCATAGCCAAACATCAAGAGAAACCATCTCCCCTTGCCCCTAAAGTGTGAAATCCTTCTCCCCTTCATTTTCTTCCGTATGTTTCAAAAGGGAACTTTGAAGACTGTGAATGCAGGTTCCATTGGTCACCTTTCGGGCTTCTTTCCCCAGTGCTGAAGCCACTCATCGACTTTGCAAAAGACTGGAGCATTCCAAGATCTGAAAATGGATTTTTTTCTTTTTTTCTTTTTTAGCCGGGACTATTTTATTTTTATGAATTTGTTTTTAGTTTAAAGAAATAGTAGATCCTGAAATGTTGTACATATTTCTAACTAGGCTGATGCACAGTGCAAATTCCTTTTTTAATTGTTTTTTTTTAAGTAGAAATACTAAATACCATCTAATTATTCATACCAGTATCCAGTTGTAGCATAAGGTGTCAAAAGCAAGTACGCAAAACATTTACTGTTTTAACAAGCTGTTTCCTTTTAACAAGAAATCTTATATTTCTCCCTGTGTTTGAGATGAACATTTTTAAATTTTAAAGTTGTACAGTTTTTTTGTTTTCCATTATTTTATCTTGTTTGTAACTCTATGAAATATATATATATTTTTTGCCATTTAACTGTTGTATGTTACTCTGTGTCTGTACCATATAGAAAAAA